TGTGTGTGTGTGTGTGTGTGTGTGTGTGTGTGTGTGTGGTCGTAGCCGGGGCTAGTATTGATCTCCAGTTTGGAATGCTCTTACTTCTTGTATGTAGGATTTGTCTAGCTCTTGATTCAATCACTTCTCTGCCGCATTCATTCAGCGCTTGGAGAGTATTAGGCTTTCCAGCCCTATAAGCCTAAAATTTCATCTCAAGTTAAAATAGGCACAGCAAATATGATTGTGACACATTGTTTTGGAACCTGTTTGGCTAAGTTCTATTAGTCAACTGTTCATAAAAATGACGTGGATGTGTGAAGGACTTCCTTTGAGTCATATATTTAATTAAAGGTTCAGGACTCTACTACAAGTGACACTTCGCTAACCCCACCCTTATTTCCCTTTAGTTCAACAGGACGGTACATAATCTCTGGTTCAGAGAACTCTTTCTTCTACATCTGGAGAAAGCAGATGGACTTTCTCAATGTCTCGCGCTTTTCTTCTAATCGAAAGGATAGGAATAATTGCTGGGAGGCTATCAAGGCTCATGACGCCGTAGTGACAGTGGCTGTCTTTCTTCCAACTTCGGAGCATCTTCTTCTTGACCCACATCGAAAGCATAGTCGAAGGCACGGCCGTAGACCCGGTGTAGAATTCATTGTCTCCGCTGACTGCAATGGATGTTTGCGGGTCTTTAGGAATCGGGCTCCCGCAATCCAGACCATCGCATCGTCTGGCCAACCCTCTCGCTCTAACGCATGATTAAATCTTAAAGTCTTTCTTTACTAATGCTGATGATGATGTGTCTTATTATTTTTTGTTTCAACATGTTTATAGAGGGTGTATATAATATTATTTTCGAGCCAATAAAACATATTTAGTGCACAATTACTGTTGTGTTTTAATTTGGAAGATGAACATAAATTTAGTGGAGCTATCTAAATGTTTTGTTACGTTCTTGTATCTTGTTAGTTGGGTGAGCGATAGACTTACCTCCATGTGGTGCACCCTGGGTAACGTATGCTCATATGGCAAAAAAGTCTATTAACCGGCAGTTGACTTCTCACTTCAAACTACCATCACCCCACGGTATGCCATATTCGACCCCTTCCACAGTACTCATCTTACCTTTTCTCTGCGTTTTTGTCTGTCTGTCACTGTTGCATCTGTGAGTCACTATTCTGTCCCCCTTCTCGACTTTTTGTCACTTTGATGTTCCTTCCCCTCTGTGAAGCCTGAAGTCAGCTAAAGGGCTAATGATAACCACCAAAACGCCTGTCATTTGCTATAAATAAATATCTTGTTAGAAGCGTGGTCCTCTTTAAGTGACAACTTACGCCCTCTCCAAGGTAGAATGAAAGCACTTCTAAATGTCTGGAAAATGGGGCATGCAAGTTTGTGTCAGCGGGCACTACATCCCCAATTTAGCTTGGTCGTGGGGGTTGGGGGGTTAGTATGTCTTATGTTTACGGCAGCTCCTGTCGTTGTTTCATGGCAATTCATGCTCTGTATTTACGTTAGAACGCAGACTTCTAAACAGCATTACCATGGTAAATTCTTCGTTATCCTTTGCAGCAACTCCAATTTAGTCTATAAGTAATTCCTTGCAACGATTAGAACTCCCAAGGGACATTGAAATGCGCTAAGTTGGATGAAATTGAAGTGCTTTCCATCAATTCTTGTTGGTCAGTTTTTCATCAACATCATCGGTCTCATAGGTCTCCCGATTTCGGGAGCTCAAATAAAAGTCGTCGTTTCCGTCATTTGAGCGTCTTTGGAGGTTATAGTGACCCTAGGAACGTATCAATTAACATTTTTAGGGTCAATAAGCAACTGGTGTGAATATTTCGCAAATATATTAATTTATTTATTTTAAATGGCGGGCGTTCTGATAGTTATCATTAGCCCTTTAGCTGACTTCACAGGGGGAAGGAACATCAAAGTAATAGAAAGTCGAGGGATGGGGAACAGAAGAGTGATTTACAGTTGTAAAAGAGACAGACACAAAGGCAGAGAAAAGGTAGGATGATTACTATGGAAGTGGTAGAATATGACATAGAGTGAGGTGATGGTAGTTTGAAGTCAGAAGTCAACTTCCGGTTAATAGACTTTTTTGCCCTATGAGTATACGTTGCCTAGGGTGCACCACGTGGAGGTAAGTCTATCGCAAATGTATTGTTTAAAACTTCACTTCCGCATGCAGTTGTGTGCTAGTGGCTGATCGATTAATGTGCTTATCAGATGGCATGATTTAATGCCTATTGCACTGCGATGAAGTGCAATAGCCAATCGGATTGGTTAAGACTGCTGAGTAATGAAATGAAATTGTGGTTGCTGGGTTTCTCGATGACCAGGATGAATTTTGAAATGCACTAATTAGACTTGGGAGTCTTTACCATTTCTACGGCCAAATTCATATTCTGTTAGGGCGTATATTTACCCAACTCTTTGTACAGAACAATAAGCCAACAAAGAAATATTCTAAGATAATTCGTTTTGCTCCCCTTCTTCACCCCCCCCCACCCCACCTCACCCCACCTCACCCCACCCCACCTCATCCATTTTATAACTCACCAGTTGCTCAATACTGGGGTTTTTAGCGGATTGCTTTTCGAATAAGCCTCAACTATAATCAGAAATCTCTGTGGCAAATGCTTCTATGTTTGGAAGGACTCCTAGAACTAGCCAAGCTACCAAAAATCTATAGAGGAAACAGGCGTATCACACGGGACACGTTTATTTGGGATGTGTGCACAAACAAGGAGCTTAGTCATTATAGTAATATGGCGGAGTTTATCAACCAAGTGTGTTCTCCCTACGCGAAGTTGCACTGACGCACCTTCCAGTCTGTCTGAGCGCGCATGAGCTAACTTTGTTCACAGGTGATAACATTGAGCTCCATGAGTTAGAGCTACTCAGACTCAAGGAAGAAGAAAAAAAGGAGGAATTTGGGTTGAGTGGACAGCTTTTATTAAAAAAATTAATTTATCTGAATGGGATAAGATATTTAATAACTGATTAGCCAATAAGCGAATAGACAGGTGTTTGCGAATATATTTTTAATTCAGTATAATTTTAAATTAAGCAATATTGAACTCTAGTCTAGACGCATTTACAGGGTTACTTAGTGGACCAGACGCAAATAATTTATTTATAACAAGTGGCAGGCATTATGATAGTTATCATTAGCCCTTTAGTTGACTTCGGGCTTCACAGAGGGGAGGAGGAACATCAAAATGAGAAGAATTCGAGAGGGAGAACAGAAGAGTGATTCAGAGATGTAAAAGAGAACGACACAAAGGTAGAAAAACGTGATGTGAATACTATGAAAGGGATCGAATATGACGTACAGTGGGATGATGGTAGTTAGAAGTCAGAAGTCAACTACCGGTTGATACTTTTTTGCCGTATGATTATACGTCGCTCAAGGTGCACCACGAGGAGGTAAGTCTATCGCACACCCCAGACGCAAATAATAATATGAACTCTATTCAGGAGGGGAAATATGGTGTGGAAACCGTTATTCTTGTCGCACAATGAATGATTTGGGACCCCGGATCTCTCGATTTTCATCTTCTGCCCAGGGTTCCCGTTGTTCACAATAGTGAGCATTGAGAGGGAACTTGGAGGTGCTCAATGAACCAGACCGTCATGCAAATCACTATACGTTTATTTCTTGCCAATGCTGGCACATCTATTTTATGGAAAATAACTGGTATTTATGAAATGGGTTGTCCGATTTTAGGAATAACGGTGGACATTGAACAGAACTTCTGAGGTAACTTAAATGCATTTTTTTCTCTTCTCTATTGCTCTCCCTCTCCACCCCCCCTCCCCTCCCCCACGCACTATCTTAATGTCTGATTACCGGCAGCTGCAAAAAGATTTTAAATTGACGTCCTTCATTCTTTTTTGCTATGGCTGAACCGTAGAAAGTCCGAATTTAAAAGGGAAGCAGTAGATGGCAATTAACCGCCAAAGCTGAGTTTGAATGGAATCACTCTACACTCGAGTCTTGAAGGTAACTTAATTGATAACTTCGTTATCTAGGCGGCTATAACACCATTTCCACAACAAACAACGCGATTGAGAAACGAGAGGCTGTTGGTTGGAGAGCTTTATTGAGGTGCGAAATAAAAGTTCAGAAATTAAGAGAGCGGAAAATGCGTGTGTGCATGAGAGCAATTGTAATGGATGATGTGTTCGCCGACACACATTGAGAAGAGTGGAAATAAGGGTATGGAATAACTAGGCGAAAAGTGAAATATAGCAACTATCACCGAAAGGCCTCTTAAGTTGACTAATCATAGTGACCAAATCGCTTTTGAAGATATGCGATGGTTCGTAGAGGGGTCTTCCTAGCAGGATTGAAGTTTTGAAACTTAGGTCCCAAAGATAACGGGTGATAATTATCAGGGATTGTAATTTCACAGAATGAAGTGTGCATACAATGCGAAAAGGAAGCAAGGAATTCGCTGGAGTTGTCTCCTCCTTAATCACATGAGTATTTCCCTATTCACGCTCCAGAGCGTTGGATTCAGGTGACGAGTGAAAATATGAGAAAAGGTGGACAGGACGCACAGTTTACAAATCTGGCAAAATAGAATTGGGCGCCATTCTTGGCATATTCATGCGTGGTGGTTATCTGGCTTGGGATTTTGACGGTAATACCAATTCAGCCCATTTTGAACCCGATTATGCCTAGGTAAACTAAGCAAGATAAAGATTAGGGCGAGGCCAAACGACTTCTGCTTGAGAGCAAATAACGAAACCATAGATGAAGTCGAATACTGGTGTTTGTTCAGCCACTAGAAAACTTTGTTCACCCTCGTTTGGCATCGTTCATGGTGATTGAGAAGCTCCATTTCGCAGTTTACACCGTCCGTCGGCAACTATTGAGTAGAATGGTGAACACTGTGACTGTTATTTGTTCAATAGTGACTGTGTTGATCAGGTTACTTTAAATATTCAATTCTCAATCCATTAAAATACTGCAATATTACCTTGAAAGCGGATTAGGTATGTAGCAGTGCATGTAGAAGTGCTCTTTGAAGTTCACCTGGATTCAGACACACACACACACACACACACACAAGTATTCTCTTGCAGGGTCTTCTGGTATGAATTATAACAAAATGATCCAGATCACGTTAAAATTAGCGTGTGGAGAGGTACACTGTAAAATGCGTAGTAATTGAGTACAATTGACGGTACACGCCACGAATATTTATTTATTTATTTCAAATGGCAGGCGTTTTTGATAGTTATCAATAGCCATTTAGCTGACTTCAGGCTTCACAGAGAGGAGGAGGAACATCAAAGTGACAAAAGTCGAGAGGGGGGACAGAATTATGATTCACAGATGTGACAGAGATAGACAAAAAAGCAGAGAAAAGGTAAGATGAGTACTGTGAAAGCGGTCGAATATGGCATACAGTGGGGGTAGTTTGAAGTCAGAATTCAACTGCCGGTTAATAGACTTTTTTGCCGCATGAGTATACGTTGCCCAGGGTGCACCACGTGGAGGTAAGTCTATCGCACACCCCTCTTTAATAATATCAGATGCCGCCTTCTTTCTTCTACTCTACGACATTCATACATTTGCATTTGTATCAAATTTTCGCCAAGATATGTCAATCCACTTTTAATCTCACCAAACTTGGCTGAGAGCCTGAACGATTTGATGTCAAGTGATAGGCCATGCGAATAATTGAGGTGAAAGTATACGACCCCGCTCCTCACCCAACATTAGGTGATCAGATGATTCTTGCCCCCCCCCCCCCCCCCCCCCCCCCCCCCCCCCCCCCCCNCCCCCCCCTCCCCCCCTCCCCCCCTCTCCAATTCTATTGGGTATCCGTCTTCTACCTATTAGGGGCTACTATGAACGCGTATAGGCACATTTTATAGGACAATCGTAGTTGGCGTTAAATTGGTGTGCTCAAAATTCGTACTAACACAAAACAAGCGTAAAACAGCATTAACAGAAGTCACATTTTAATTTGAGTGTACCCTCAACTCAAAAGAAGGAGGAACAACAATAAAAGATCGATTTGAGGAGGCGTTTATTGACAACAAGGAAGGCGCAGAATGAAATGAAGAAAACACGCCTTGTCACACACACATATATATATATATTTTAAATTATTAAAGAGATATCTGCAATAGAGTGGAAGGAATGTTTATAATAGAACTGAAGGCGAGCAAATTAAGTGGAATGGCAAAGAAAGCTAATCGAATTTTGAAGAAGAACGATGGTGATAGGAGAGAGGAAGAGGAAGAGGAGAATGCAAGAGTCAAGCAGCTCCGATCTCTTCATTCGATTGGCGATTCATGGCCCCAGTTCCAAACTCGCCTTGTTGGGAGTGAGGCAAAGAGCCATTGTCTTGGGCAATTCTCTGGAGATCTGCAAGCGCATTATTCCCCTTGCCCAAGTGCTCATAGTGGTAATGCGTGAGGAGGCCGTAGAGGAGACGCAGTATGGATTTACCACCATCGGCTGCGAGCATAATATCCTCCGGTCTCTCCGAGGGCTCCGGCAACTCTGCTGCCCGCATTAAATCGAATGCCAGGCGCACATTGGCCAATCTCTGGGCGTCGGTGGTGGGATTGAGATGGTAGCAGTGAAGCGGAACGAAATAGCCCTCGAGGAGACCCATCAACAAGACAAGACGAACTCCGTCAGAGAACTACAAATAAATCACCTAACTTTACTATTTATATATATTTTCCGCGATCAAAGTCATTAAACATTCTCTATCCACAACTATTTCTGCAGTAACAATGGTCTCTCAGTAGTTGGCCACATGACAAACTTCCTCTAGAACCGCACTCTCATTAAACGTGTGAAGTTAGTAAGCTGTAACTAAAAAAAAATTATGTGATCTAGCCAACATGTTCTCCTTTAGAAAACTTTTGGATTTTTTGTACATCCTTTAAAATGAGCTTTAGTTGTGACGGAAAGTACAACCAATTGGCAGTTTCCCCCATCCCACCCCCACTGCTACTAGTTTACGTTTATCAACTTTCCATCTTCTTTTAGTTTTTACAAAATTCTACAACTGCGAAATTACGACGATTGGCATTACACGCGTGGACACAGTTTTGATCAGTAACGAAATCGCAGCCAATAATATAAAATAGGTTGCTACTTGAACTTACCATTAATTCACAATGTTATGGGTCTAAAATTGTTCTCCAGATTAAGTATGGAAGAACCAAAAGTGTGCAAAGGCCAGTGTAAGGTGAGAAATCTCACGAAACTGCGAATTGACCAATGAGTGCGTCACAGCACAAGTTCTATGAATGCAGACGCTATTTGCGAGAGGGTAGGTGAGTTGGAGTGTGTGATAGCAAAGTACTCAGCATCCTACCACGAGATGAATTACCTTTGAAGGAGGGCAACATAAGCACGATTAAGCTTCTCCCAAGGAGGATCCTTCGTCTTTATACCTATTGGTTCATCAGACAATAACCGTCCACGTTGGATCACACTTTTTGCGGAAGTTTCCCACACACCTTAAATACTCTTACTTCACTTCTTATGAATTGGATAATTGAATTGATGGAAATCTTATGTTTACACATAGATATGTAGAAGTGACGCAGAAACACTTATCGATTATTTGGGTCACTATAAGAAAATTTATTTTGCCAGTAAAATAACAACCGTTTAAGCCAGGAAACCGAGAGACTATGAGAGTCATTTAAGGAACTCTACTGAAGGTCAACAAAGCCGACAAATAGTTTCCGTTCGACAACTCGATCATTGCTGTTGTTTGGCATGAAACCTTTTCAACTTTGTTAAAGAGTGAAACATCGCATTCCACCACGTGAAGGATAATATAACATCCATACTTTCTGAGCTCAATCAGGGAAAAATTTATCAAAAGCATAGAGGCAAACCAGGAAATAAACTCGCGTTCTCCGTCTCATGTGCGGAGCGCACGATCTTCGATTTCACTGAACGGCACTTGGAAACCCATTACGTAAGTGCTTAAACAGGCGTCGGGTTTGCATAAACAAATTCTCTAATTAATAAAACTAATGGTTTTACTGAAATGGTGAAAAAACACAAGAAAATACTACTTAACCCGAGATTTCAATCAATACTTTCTTTCTCTAAAGATCAGATAAAGCACCCGCCCTTGTCCTACTTGGTACATGCCATAAAGTAAGTTCCATCTCACACTTGCAACTGATCTAGCATGAGAAATCAATCTGAGAAACGTAACACTAGTCAACAAAACCAATCACTTAGACAACTCTGAATAGATCTATTCTACAATGAATTGAATGTACCGATCTCAAAGTATTTCAAGTTAAAATTAAAAAAAACAAATGAAGATGAAGGGAAATAAAGAATGCTAAGGTAAATAGACATTGCAAAATTTTCAAGCAAATGGTCAGATATATTAAAACAGAAATACAATACAAAATATTTCAAAAACTTTAAAAGTAAGAGCTAGACATTACGCACATGGCAACTGAAAATAACTCGATAAAAAACTTCAAAACTATAACTGGCTTGAATAAAATATTGCTTATTAATGTACTAATCAAACAAGATTCACTTATGAGGAAGCCAGGAAAAATATTCAAAAACTTACATCATTTTTCAAATCTTTGACTGGAAAATTTATTTTCTGTAGATATCCATTGACAAAACAAGTAATGAGCTTTGGAACGAGATCCCTATTGGGTATATAATCCAATGGATGAGATGTAGTCTCCGATTCTATATCAAGGAAAATAAATAAATCCGCTGAAATATTAAAGGTAATATGTTCTATTCAGTGAGGGCAAACCTGAAAGAGGTTGAGTCGGCACAGTTAGATATTTCTTCTCGTATCTATACTCAAGAATGCCATTGATTTTCCTGACTACAATAACGGTAAGATAAACCCCATCAGAAAGTCGAATCCCAGATTTGAAATGCTTGGCCATTGCAACAACAAGCCGAATAACGGCGATGACATCTTTGTTGTGAATCAACTCAGCCGACCATTGTTCCTTAGCCCAACTCTCAGGAACTCCAAGTAGCTGATTGATAGTTGCAACAACCTCCTTTAAGCGCTGCATCTGACCGAATTCAGATTGGGTAACTTCCGGATGTTCCAATTTGATGCCTGCTAACTTTTCAGCTAGGTTTTGAAGAATTTGGCCATCATATAGGTCATCAGCAATATTTCTGACAAGAATACGGTAATTAACCAGCTCGTCATTAATCCAAGAAATGAGAGAAGCGATTAACTCTTTCACTTCGGGTGATTCCATCGAAGCCCGTTCAATAATTGAGCGCTCCTGGCCTTCTTCTAGCATGTAATTTTCAGGATCTTCAATAGCAAGAGAACAGAGAGCTGATTCCATAGCCTTACGACCCTCAGCAGTTAGATCTTCTACTTCCTTTCGAGACTTTTTCTTATTTTTACTCCGAAGAGTTTCCAACTTGCTAAAGAAGGATCCCGTTCCCGTTTCTGACAATCCTGGCAAATTCATCTAGAATAAAAGAGGAAACGTCCAAAAAGATAAATCGATACTCGTAAACCTAAAGCGCTTGTCTTATTATAACTCGGGCATTAAATCAACTAATCGAAGCATACTTTTAAATGGTAATACAGCAAGAACACTTTATAAAATGTCACCTAAATAGCAAAGTTATTTAAAAGAGACCCACCTTGAAAGCAGTGAAAATATCCGCGTCCTTCAAATAGCCTTGAAAAATATTTATGAAATTGGAAACTAAAAATTATTTTTTGGGAAAAAAGTTGATCGTAAAGTTACGTTTTTGATTATGTCCCGAACATTTACTTTCTGTTTAAATTTAGTTGAGCTTTTAGAAGGGAGAAGGTTTATTTTTTATCGGTTTTACTGGGCATTTCTATTGGTTCATATAATCTGTTTGCTGACTCTTAGCCTTCCGTCGAAATGGCCGTCCTTGCCCTTTGAACAAAACAATATAAATTGTTACTGACATTTGTCTACCTCCCAATCAAGTTAATTCTTTACAATGTATATGACCGATCAGTATCCGAAGTTGGACGGGCGCTCTTTAGAAAATACATATACCAACATTTTTGCCTTGGTCCGTACTTTTTTATTTGGTGTTCAATTTACTTTATTTTTTACTTAAAGGCTGATCTTAGTGGTATACAATACCTTGTCTACCGATCAAAAGATGAACGGAGCTGTTCTATATATGAGGACCCAATTCTCGATTCATATAACAATTGTTTACGAGAAAATTTGATGTGTGCCTGGGTTCGACATAAACGTATGGATTCAGAACCTCATAAACCAGAGATCTACTCTAATTTCGTCAAAGAACTCTGGGTGTTTTGGTACGGTAATGAGGACTGCTTAAAGAAAGATCATCTCATTTCCCCAGATTTGGAGATAACATCTTCAGGAACTTGGAAACAAGGTCTCTCTTATAATACCCGATGTATTCTATTCAAAGCATTGCACAATCTTATTGAAAGGTAAATGGCTGTCTTTTTTATTGGTACATACTTTTTTTTCAGATATCTTTTGGCGAAGGGATATGTTAGACTTTTTAAAAGCTTTCTTCAACCCTGTAACAGTCAGTCAATTCGTGACAAATGCCAATACAGTATCAGTTTTTCATTTTTCCTTCACGGTGAAAGCACTGTTTGTGCTAGTTTGGATATTCGTCGATTTCATAAATTTAAATCGCTTACTCCTAAAATACTATCCTTCTGTGAAAAGTTCTCTGGGAGGATTAATGGTAAGTTACAAATACTCGCTCCCTCTATAATTTATCGTTTAGTTGTCCTTGCTCCTCATGGTATTTCCGCACGTCTGGTTGCCTCATCTCAAACAAGTGATACCTCATCTGAGAGGGAATTGGAAATGTGGAAACGATTTTTCCCCATAAGATTGGTAGGGGATAACTTCAACTCCTCTGGTTCTCATCAGAACTCTTTTTATATGGACTTTTTAACTCCAAATAAATCCTCTCCTATTCAACAGCCACAGCAGGGATCTAAACCTGATTCTTCCTCAAAACGACCTATTCCCGAGCCGCTTCCACAATTCGTCAATGTTCTTGTTGGAGGATTCCGAATGCGCTATCCCACCTGCTTTGTTCTTATTGCTGAAGATCAACTCTCCTCTATGACAGTCCAACATACTCGAGATTTAGCTGATCGACGCCCTAACGCTTTTCCTAAAAACAAGCACTCTGTTTTAGATTCGTATGGTTTTCCTTATCCAAAATTTCCACTGAAACGTCTTCCAAGTTCTAAGCGAAGGTGCTACATTTCCGCTCGTTTTCTTCAACGCGCCCTGCGCTCTGAGCGGTCCTTTATGCCCGATTTCGACAGTCTTTATGCCAAATTCCGCCTTCTTTCTCAAGTCACTGGAGATGATTCCGTCTTTACGTCCGAATCCAAAAGGTTAGTTCTAAATTTTGCTAGTATTGCGTTTTGCATTCTCTCATGACTGTGTGTCATTAATCAACTTAAAATGAATTTCAGTACCATTGCTTTGTATAGTACTGATGACTTACCAATAACGGTGGGTCCTAGACTGTGTGGATTGGAAATTGTTGGTGCAGTTTTTTAGTTCTTCAAGGCCATTACGAAAAGCGTTTTCGACTATTGACTTTGTCATAGACAATGTATTCAGAATCTGCTTTCTACTAACTTTCTTGCCGTCTAGAATTGATCAAAGGCGTCGGTCATTCACATCATTAGATGTGCACCGATGGGGATTAGTATTTTCACCCCTAACTTGGTAAACGCGTTCATCGATCACTGTGCCATTATTGACATAATTTCTTTTTATCACTGCCTATTGCATCACAGCAATTTGACTTCTTTTAATTAATACAATCATAAAAATTCTTGTACAGATTGGATGAAATGTAAAACTGAGTAAAGCTCAAGGCCGATATTATTGGAGACTTCAGCTTCTTAACATAGTACGTAGTCTGCGATATTCGATTTTTTCGATTAGTTGGTTGAATTGAGTGAGAGTGGTCGTGTCTTATAAGTACTTCTGTTTGTCCAGAGCTTCAGAAAGTTTATTACTTTTTTTATAACAAATGGCAGGCGTTTTGATAGTTATCATTAGCCCTTTAGTTGACATCGGGCTTTGCAGAGGGGAGGAGGAACATCAAAGTGAGAAGAATTCGGGAGGGAGAATAGAAGAGTGATTCACAGATGTAAAAGAAACAGGCAGACACAAAAGCATAGAAACGGTAAGATGAGTACTCTGGTAGGGGTCGAATATGACATACAGTGAGGGTGATGGTAGTTTGAAGTGAGAAGTCAACTGCCGGTTAATAGACTTTTTTTGCCGTATGAGTATACGTTGTCCAGGGTGCACCACGTGGAGGTAAGTCTATCGCACACCCCATATCTAATATTATAGTATTTTGATTTGAGTATAGAGTATTGAATGGATAAATTGGAATTAAATATCATATCAACAGAGAACCATTTTTAAAGACTAATTAATTGCGCAAGCGCTAAATCAATTGAACTCTTTGTATAAAAGATTATCAATTTTGTACCTCAATCCTCGAATGGAGAACAAACAAACAAAAACTGAAATTTTAAAATAGAGGAATTTATAAAACTATGACTGAATGAAAAAGTTTTCCTAAAGTATTAAATTCACATCCCGGACCACCCACAAAGTAAATTCACAGATTCATTTACCTTACTAAGGCAAATGGTCAAATCAATATCTATATTTTCTAGCCCTATTAATTTTCAAATAGAATCTGAGGAGTGTTGTTGGTTAAAAATAACCTAATCAAATCTCCTAAGTTAAATTTATATCTGAATAATCATTTTGATACCTATTATTTCAGGGATTTGAAAAGGATGAAGATGCTCTCATTCAGATGGCAATTAAGAACCTTGGAGAATCCGTTGAGGTTATCCGACAATACGCCGAATTAGTACCCGGATTTTCTTCCCTCACTGAAGCTGATCGGGAAAAGATTATCCTACTACACTCTGCAGACCTGATCACCTTCCGTATGGCATTTAGGTAGGAACTTCTGCATTGCAAAACGTTATCGACTCTTTAAAAATGACTCCTCTAATCGATATCTTTCTACATTTTTTGTAGGACGGCCAAAGCAGCTGCAGAGCGAGCCCAGTTAAATCTCTTCCATCCAAATAGCACTCAATCAAGTCCCTATTTCAGGCCTCCCATTCCCACAGACACGCCTAGAATACCGCAACAGTCAAATATATCGGCACCTCAACAAACAGGCCCACCTTTCCCCGGTGGCATTGTTGAATGGCATTCTCAAACAAATCCATCGGATCCCGCTTTCCGACCTTTCCACCACAATCCCTTAATAGGACCCTCCCAACTGCCTTCTCATCCAACCCCATGGCAAACTGGAGGAGTTCCACGACCATTAGACTTTGAGGTGGAGGATGAAGGAGATGCAAACTTGGCAGCATGGGAAGTAGCCCTCTCGACACCCACTGAACCGGGCTATATCTTTGAAAATGGTTCCGTGATGACAGATGAAGAGTTGAATCGAGCTGGATTAGGACCATGGATTCGTGCTCTAACTTGGTTTGGTTGGCAACTCCTCGAATTGGCCATGGGTGACCACAGTACCGTAGCTGGTCTTTCAGCTCTTGTACTCATCAATTATCAAGCTCTTTGTGGTCGAACTGACTTGGAGAACTCGAGTGAGATCTATACAGTGCATCACAGATTTGTTGAAATGCTAAAAAGTCATTGTTGCTCACCCACCAACGCAGTGACCATTCCAACGGAGTACTCTGGATGCTATGGTCCTGATAGGGACCCTACTGGGGCTGTAGCGACGGCTACTAATGCTGGCAATATGTTACCCCCGGGGAGAGCAGATTCAACCTATTTCTCCCAGGTGTTTAAGAAGAAGGATACAGCTCATTGGATAGCAAGTCACCTGCTCTTACAGCCTCTACAGCGTCTCCATGCTAGTGGCAGACTGCCTTCAGGTCCCGAAAGTAGCTGGTTGAACACCCTAGTAAACCTCCTAAACACCGGCTGCAATCAATCCCAAACCCCTCCACCATGTAACTAAACAACAGACTTGAAATTCTAAATGAACGCTATTCAATAAATTCTAATCACTTCCAAAACAGTTAAACTTGCAGCAACAGTGTACAGTTCCAGTAAAATACGAACCTTGGGTAGTTGTGTCCATAGTACATGTGTATGTGTTGATCTCTTCTTCCCTGCATACACTAACTCCCCGCCTTGAATGCTTCTTCTCATTCGATTTCCATTCCCTCTTTGCGTTTGTCCCTTGTCTGCGTGTCTATCCTCTTGTCTTGGTCTTTTTGTGTGATTTTACTCATATATACATATACATATACATATACATATACATATATATATATATATATATATATATATTTGCTCTCCTAAATGAGATGCTCTTCTCTGTGATTCATTCTCAGTAAATGAAGACTCTCGACATGAGGATTTAAATGAGGATAAAATAGCTTTCTCGAAATTTTTACTATATCGAATAAGCAACAATTACCATACTCAGTAGTAGCTATTTTAGAAAATCGAAGTTTTCTATTATTATGGCCAATGGCAAAATTGACACATTTTTTAAGGTGTTATAGGTAGTTGCTTTCAAATGAAAGTCAAATATTTTTTTTGGAATATTTTTGTGCATTTAATTAATACATCCTAAGCAATTGCTATCTACTCAGTGGGTTGTCTTGAGGATTTAAACAAGCGTTCATTAGGATAGTCCCACTGTATCCATATGATAATTATCCAATAAGTTGAAAATTGTGGAATACCTTAAAATAATTATTTATATCAAATGGCAGGCGTTTTGATAGTTATCATCAGCCCTGGAGCTGACTTCGGGGCTTTGCAGAGAGGAGGAGGAGGAACATTAAAGTGACAAAAAGTCGAGATGGGAGACAGAATGATGATTCACAGAGGTAAAAGAGACAGACAGACAGACACAAAGGCATAAAATAGGTAAGATGAGTACTGTGGAAGGCGTCGAATATGACAAATAGTCGGGCCATAGTAGTTTGAAGTCAGAAGTCAACTGTCGGTTTGATAGCCTTTTTTCCCGCATGAGTATACGTTGCCCAGGGTGCACCACGTGGAGGTAAGTCTATTGAGCACCACGTACCTTAAAATAAGATACTTGATTAACGTGTTTGGATTATTATGAAATCCGAGCTGCAAACCCACTAAATTTAAGGTCCAATAATGAACAAATGAAAATGCTAATAGTAGAAGTTATTAAAATGAATAACTTTCTTTAAACAACGCATAAATCAATTCATGCTTGGATTTCTTGGTGAAAAATGACCACATTCTAAAATTAATGTAGTTCACAAGAAATAAAATTCAAGGTCATGATTAATTTGGTAATGATTTGCCACTAATTAGTGGGAAAAAAAGCTGATTGGTGTGAAGTCTAGGCTGCAGAGAAACGCGGTTATTGTAGCAAGAAAAATTGAGCAAATTTTAGTCAATTCAAGGAACGCCCATAGCATATCCCAGCTCTCTATTGCTTGAAAAAGGAAAGAAGAGTAAAGAGTTGGTAACATTTATTGATATGTATCATATGACAGGCGTTTTGATAGTTATCACTAGCCCTTTAGTTGACTTCAGGCTTCACAGAGGGGAAGGAACATCAGAGTGAAAAAAAGTCAAGAGGAGGGGGGTGGAACAGAAGGGTGTTTCAAAGGTGTAAAAGAGACAGACACAAAGGTAGAAAATAGGCGAGATGAGTACTGTGGAAGTAGTGGAATATGA